ACGAGAAATTGGTGGAACCAGCCAGTGGCTCGGGGTCAGCCCCACACCTCAGCTCCCCCAGCAGCCCCCCTGGCCCGGGCTGGGCATCCTGCAAAGCTTGGGGTGGGGGTTGGGTACAGGGTGGCGATGATTGGGGTCCCAGCAGGGTCCAGCTCAGCCCAGTCCCATGGATGCTGGTCCAGATGTGGTCACTGGTGCTGGGGGGTCAGATAGGGAGCACTCCCCTGCTCCGGTCCCTGCCTGCACCCAATGCCACCCCTCAGCAGCTTGGGGACCCACTGGACCCACAGTGGTCCTGGATTTGCTCCCTTTCATTGTCTGCTCTGGTGTTCCACAAAGATGTCCCCAGGAGGGGACAGGGACCAGAAGCAGCTCCCCCAGATACTCCACCACCCCACCAGTGAGCACCAGTGGCCACAGCCCCCGGGAACCCATCCCCACTGACCCAGAGCTATTTTGGAGTGAGAACAGGTCCCACGGGAGCAGGGTCCCAGGCTTCACCGCAGTCTGTTAGCAACTGGGAACAATGGTGCTCCCGCAAACAGAAGCTGCGTCGTGATAACCTGGCGGGTCTGAGGCATCCGGAGAGGCAGGAAGGAGCCCAGCAGAAGGAAATATTAAATAGAGCAATATAAACACGGCGGTGGGGGCCAGCTCCGCCCCGGCGCAGCCCCCGCTGAAAGGGGGTTGTGTTGGGGTGGGGTGTGCAGAGCATCGTCAGGATGGAGAAGAGCAGCTACGCCATGGCCAAGTTTGGTCTGGAGGCCAGGGAGGCAATGCCGAAGAGGGACTGCAGTTTTTACATGAAATACATCTTCCTCTTCACCTCCCTCATCCAGTTCCTCATCATCCTGGGGCTAGTGCTATTCATGGTGTACGGCAACGCACAGGCGGGCACCGACACACACCTTCGGCTGCTGGAGGAAGAGCTGCAGGAGCGCTATGGCAAGATCCTCACCCTGAGTGGCAGGAACATCAACCTGACCCGCATCCTCAATGCCACCCTCAAGGAGAAGCAAGGTCTCCAGGCCCTCGCTGTGAAGGTGCAACGGGACCTGGATAAGTGCAACAGCACCCAGGCACCCAACTCCATCCCCAAGGTGAGCTCTGCCCTCTGGAAGGGAAGGGAAGGCCCCCCCCATGGGTGCAGGGGCTGCAACCCGCCCATGGGTGTGGGGTCTGTAAGGAGCTGGGATCTTGCTACAGCGGGGATGGACCCATGGGTGCAGGGACTACAGGGTTTGGGGACCTCATTACAGTAGGGATGAACCTAGCAGTGCTGGGGGCTAAAGGGTTTTGGGACCTCGTTACAGTGGGGATGAATGCAGGGGTGTGGGAGGCTGCAAGAGGTTGGAACCTCATTACAGTGGGGGTGGACCACAAGTGCAGGGGAGGGGAGACCCCGCTGGCAATGTTGATGTGTCCCTCACAGCCCCCTTCTCATCCTCCCCAGCCCCTGGTGCTCTCACCACCACCCTGGGGGGAACGAGACGATGCCAGGGGGGGTGTCCCCGCCAGATGCTCTGATGCCCCCCTCTCCTCTTCCTCTCCCTCAGCTACAGGAGATGATGAAGATAATCTTCTACCAGAAGACCAAGCTGGACGAGTGCCACATGACCATCAGCCTCATCAATGCCAGCTGCAGCGGTAAGGGACACCCCCCCACACACACACACACCCCCAAATTATCCCCCTCTCAGCCCTCTGGGGACCCCCAACACCCTGCAGGGACACACCACAGCGGGTGATGGGGACTAGGCAGGGGCATCACATCAAAGTATGGAGTGGGACTTGGTTGAGGGGGGATCCATGCACCCCAACCCCATATCCCACCACCTACAGCCGAAAAGGCACTGCTGCGGAGCCAACTGGACCAGACCACCCTGGGCAAGAAGGAGCTGGAGGAAAACTGCCGGCGGGCAGGCGCAGCGCTGACCAAAGCCACGCAGGAGCAGGAGAGCTGCCAGCAGGAGCTGACCACCACTCGCACCCTCCACGACTCCACCAAAACCCACCTGGAGCTGCTGCGGAGCGAGTGCAGCTCCCTGCGGGCCGACATGAGCTATAGCTTCCAGCGCATCAAGGAGGCGGCCGCCAGCAGCCCCTACACATGCAAGGCCATCCAGGAGCAGCTCAACTGGTTGACGGGGCAGACGGAGAAGTTTTTCCTCTGGCAGCAAGAGCGAGAGACGAAATACGTGGGGAAGAGTGTCTGCGACATGAACCTGCTCCAATGCCGCCTCAACTGCTCGCGGGAGAAACAGGAGCTGGAGAAGCGGCTGCAGGAGGTGCAGAGCCAGGTGAAGGGCGGGCAGGAGGAGAGGAAGAAGCTGCTGGGGGAGAAGGAGCAGCTGGGCAAGGAGCTGGAGGAGAAGGGCAAGGCCGCTGCACAGGCCGGGTACCTCAGGGAGCAGCTCAACATCTGCATGGGCTCCAAGGTGAGCAGCTCAACATCTGCATGGGCTCTAAGGTGAGGGAGGGCTAGGGCACAGGGACAGCCCTTAGCCCCTTCAGGGGCCATACAAGAAGCATGCAAGGCTGGGCATAGGCATCTGTCTTTTGCACATGCAATTTTGAACATATATCTATTTGAACATATATCTATTTCGCATATGTAATTCTGTACCTCCATCTATTTTCCACATAGACCTTTGCACATTCACCTTCCCTTCACCCATGCAATTTTGCCCATGCATCTTCCTTCTACACATGCCATTTTGCACACCCATTTCACCCACGCAACTTTCCGTGCGCATCTTTCTTTCACCCGCACCCTTCTGCAACCGTGCCTTTGCACACCTGTTTTGCACGCACACCCTTTCCCTTTTGCAAACCCACTCCTGTATGGCCGCTGCAGCACCCCCAGTACCCATGGGTGCTGCACTGGCGCTGAGCCCCACCTGCTCTCCCCGCAGATGGACGCCTTCTTCGACATCCCGGGCTCGCGGGGGCCGGGGGGCAGCGGGCGCCCAGGCCCCTTCCCCAGCACTGGCTCCTACGCTGATGCCCTGAGGAACCAGGGCATTTTTGGGAACATGGGTGAGTTTTTGCGGGAATGCTGTGGGGCCACCCC